AAATAAATGGAAGTGATCACATCATCAAGCTTTTTAATGCTCCTGTTTGCCCTCTGGTTGTTTAGATGTTTAACGAGCAAAGAGATGATGAAAGTTAAGCGGTTAGAGGAGAAGCCAGAGGCTTGACGTGCTGGGGCTGGTGGCAGCAGAGCCTTCCACGGTCCATCCTGCTTCCTCTCCAGCAGTGACTTTGCCCCCCATCTCCGCTGTCTCGTCAGCTGTGCTGAACTCTCTGTGGTTTCAGACATACTCTGTCTTCTCAGCTCCAGACCTTTGCACTTGCTCCTCCCTGAAACACCCCTGTCCTTCACCCAGTTTAGGAGTCACCTCTTTTAGGGTAAGGCCTGAATTTAAGGTTCAACATTATGTGTGCCTTGAGATGAACTTTTATCTGGTAAAATCTGAGGGCTTCAGATGACCTAACTGCAAGTCCCCCTCCCCACTCTGTTTCCGTGTATAAGGTTCCCCAGCCAAACAACTCTCCTGATCACGGGGACCAGGCACAGAGCTTGCTTATCCCTAAGTAGCAGGCATCAGTTCACTACCAGCCCGAGGAATTATTCAAACAAACCAATCACATCCTCTCGCTGGAACCAGGGGTCACCTCAGCCCTTTGTTACTACAAAAGCTACCTCCATGGCCCCTGTTTGTTCGCTCTGTTCCCAAGTGCAACCCCCACGTGGCCCTGCATGTGGCACAGTGTCCTTCTCCCCCAGGCTGTGAGTGTGACACTGCTGTCAATCTCAACTGTCCAGTGCCAGGTGTGTGTGTGTTGAGCCATCTCATAGCCCTCAGGCAGGAATCCCTCTCTTATCAACAGAGTAAAGAAGACGTATGAAAACACCTCCTCTAGGAAGTCTTCCCTGATCTCCCCGGTCTGGCTTCACAGCTACTTCCCTCCATGTCCACATATTCTCTGCTCATCCCTTAGTGCCTGGTTTTGACCTCACTACAAAGTGAGCCACTTGTGGGCAGACTTTGTGTCCTAGTTGCTGCTGCTCAGAAAAGAGTTGTTGAATTAAACAATGAATGAATGATGGGTTTGGTTTTTTTAATATCTAAACACTTGTTAATCTCTTTGTTCCACTAACATTGACGTTTTACTGAAGTGCTGTTCTGTTAGATTTTGGATGCACTAGCTGGTGCGTTTCACCTATTGGATATATTTACATGTAGGGGGAAACTTTTTCCTTCAATATTATGTCATTTTCCAGTTAGTACAGTGACGTAGGAGCAGGGTGGGCAGGCAGCTGAAGACAGGCTGGCTGGGTCTGCACGGCCCCCTGTCAGTTTCTAGCCAGTCACAGGACCTCATTGCAGCATATGTCTGTGTGTTATCTCATTAAATAGCTAATCCTGTTTATTGTCCTTCCTCTCAGGACAGCCTTTTATTAGAAACCTTTGTCCCTGGCCTGAGGGAGCCTTCCTCTGGCCATTATGAGACTGGAGCTTTGCACTGCCCAGACCTATCAGATAGCGGAGCTCATTGCTGACAGTTCTGCCTTCTCTAAGTAATGTGAGAACCGTATTTGAAGGCACGATCTCACTCTAATCATGTGAGATCTTACGACCAGCCTTTATTACTTTTCTAAATGAAAAAAATGATTAAGTAAATCAGGGAGAAGGGTGGCCTCCACAGTGCACAGCCATCAGTCCAGCTCTGCAAAGACTTTCTGACTCATGGTACTTTCTGGAAGAAACCATTCTTCTCATGGGTCTGGAAGGATTTCTTAGGGCACGCTTGCTCCCCAGTCTGCACAACTGAGATTTTGGGTGGTGGCTCTTGTTAGTGAGTCCTCTGTCCCTGCGGCAGGTTGAGACCCCCCCTCCCCCGCTTTGTCCTTTTTAGATTCATTCTATAGTCCAGGCTGTATCACCACCGCTCCCCCTTCAGCACTCAGTTTCTCTTCAATTATTAATAAATGTGTCATTTAATTAATAACAACTTTCCACATCTAAATTATACTTGCAGACTTTATATTGAAATTTTAAAATAAAGAATTATAATGCATTTACCAAGATCATTATTAAATATTGTCTTGGGAAAATCTGACTATGTTGATTAATTTAGAGTTCTCTTACCTATAATGAAAAGGATGGGGGTAAAAAGGGTGCATATGTGAAAGCACTTTGGAAACTATTTTACAAATATAACATGATATTGTTATTACCTGTGTCAGTAGTAAACGCATTTCAGTCCCAAGGCTTCTCATGCTTCCACTAAGACATTATGAAGAATGTAGAGAGAGTGGCAATTATTCTTTTTATTTCCTCCTGAAAGGAAAAAAGGTCATTTCCACTGACGTGAAAATGATTGTCAGCTGAGTAACAACATGTATTTTGTCTCTAGGGAAAGAATATGGCAA